GTGCAGCCGGCCGGTCGCGAAGTTGATGGCATCGATGGTCGGCTCCGCCCAGCCGCCATTGGGGTAGCTCCACGTGATCGAGTGCAGCGGCGCCCCGAGCCCCGCCAGCGCCAGTAGCTCGTACTCAAGCACCGCCAGGGGCATCGCGCCCACCTGCTGCTTCTCGTACTTCTCAAACAACTTCTCCTGCTCCACACACGGACACACACACACGGACAGACAGACAGCCAGCCCACAGACAGACAGACAGACAGACAGACAGGTACACACAGCTGACTGACTGACCCCGATCAGTTGACCGTGTGTGTATGCGATGCGTATGTACCACGTGTTTGTGCGTGACGGTGATGATTTTTTTGTTGCTGGAGAGCGCCTTCAGGAGAAGCCACTTGTCCCACCGGATCGCGATGAGCCGGATCTTCTCGCAGACCACGGCCATCTTGGCCCACCGGTGGGCGTTGAGCCGGCTGATGCGATCGTTGTCCAGCGGAATGGTCACTCTGAACTGTCCCGGCAGAAGCCAGAGGGAGCAGTCCTTCTCCACGGGCCGCTGCTTGGGGTGCGCGGAGCCCTGGCAGCCCTTCTTGACCACGTCGCGGAAAATGTACTGCCAGTCGGCATCTACAGACAGACACATATATACCATACAGAGAGACAGAGAGAGATGGAACATGCAGACAGGCAGCGTATCGATATATGCGGGCGTGCAGGGCACTCACTGCACGAACGTGCGTGTGTGCGTGCGGACGTAACTTAGTACCTACCTCTGTGTTGGCAGAAGAAGACGAGCATCGGCTCCACAGGAAGGATGTCCTTGAGCAGCTCCATATACTGACCGTGGGTCTTCTGCAACACACCCCCCGGCGGCTGCTGCTGCTGCTGCTGCTGCTGCTGCCCTCCCCCTCCAGCCCCATCATGTCCCTGCGGCTGTCCTCCCTGCGGCTGCGGCTGAGGCTGGACCTCCTCCACCGCGTCGTCCATGGCTCACGAACGACAATTAGTTACCGAATGCGCACCACCCACCTACAGACATACATTCACATGACACGTCACGGCCAATGCATGCATCATTTCGCCGAGCACAGCACGATTGATATGATGCAGGCATGCTTCAGACACAATGCATTGAGGGGTGTTGAAGGGGTATTGATGGGTGGGACGACCTGCCTGCCTGCCTGCCTGTCTGGGAGGGGGGGTATAGTAGTATAGAGAGGCGGAGTCCGCCGCGGACGGCCTTTCGTACGTACCTGTGAGTGCGCGGGACGGTAAGGGGTTGGGTTTTCACAAACCCTGAAGGGTCAAAAACCCTACACAACGAACCCTCTTTGCGATCACAGGGTGAGATGCAGCCGCAGCACATCCCCAGTAAGCAGCCTTCATCCGCCGGCACATTGATCTCGATGCATGTGTGTTTGTCTGTGCGCCATTTAGGCGACTCGACGGTAGTGAGCTGGTAGTGAGCGCTGTGAGTCGGCAGTTGGTGGAAGATTCCCAGCATGCAGAGCCCTGACGTGACTGCCGGCGGCGAGGCAGACCAACCAACACCGCCGCCCGGGCTGATCTCTGTGCTGGATCGCCGGACCCTGTTGTGGCAGATCTGCGCCTTCTTCGCTACGAGGGAGCGTCTGTCGTTGACGGCCGTCTGCCGCGCCGTCAACCATGCCATCCGCGGCCTCATCTGTGTCGTCAACAATGCCGTCGGCGGACAGAACGCCGGGGATTTGAGCAGCAGCTCAGCTGGCGGCGGTGATGGTGACGGTGCAGCAGGTGGCGGGCAGCAGGCACTTGTGGTCATGCCGGCCAAGATGACGAGTGTGCGAGAGGCGGTGTTTGAGCGGTCGATAGGCAGTCTGCTGCAGCACCGCGAGACCCTCAAGGAGGTCAAGATCATCCAGCTCGGGCGTGACGGGGGGAAGGAGACTGTCGGGGAGCGCCAGGCTGGTGGGGCTGATGTTTCGCAGCTCGATGGGGATGACCATGTCGTGTTCCCCGCCGTCACGTCACTGGAGGTCAACAGCATGGAGGCACTGCTGATGCTGTATCGGCACCGGTGCGTCTTTCCGGCCCTCCGTCGTCTGTCTGGCTGCTCGCCACTGAGTCGTTCATGGGGCTGTTTGAGACACAGATGCGGCTGCATCTCCATGACTCCCTCAACATCACGGCTCTCGATCTCGGCCTGGCGCACATCATCGGTTCCTCTCCCGATCTGACGCATCTCAACGTCTTTCCCCTGGTGTTCGACGAGGGCCATCCCCCGGAGTACATCGACCCCCAGCACCCAGCCAACCGCGCCACGCCGACAATCGACATGCACCGGACTGTGGGGGCCCTGCGCAACACCGGAACGAAGCTGCAGCATCTCGGCCATCTGCTGATGTACAATGATGACATATCGTCGGATCATCTCTCGTCCTACCTGCAAAAGGCGGGCAACGTCATGACGGCCGATGTCTTTTGGCAGCGCCGACCGGCAGCAGTGGCCGAGGCCCTCCTGCGACACCTCTCTCCGCACCCCCCATCTCACCCACAGACCAGCAGCAGCAACAGCAGCAGCAGCAGCACGGCCCCGTACACCAGACAGCCACCAAACAGGCGCCAGCTTCGGCACTTCTGTCCGATCAAAGTCGACCCCAGTCTGCCGTACGGCATATCGGCCCCGGGGCGCACCACAACCCTGCATCTCATCCAGACAGCAGAGCAGAGGGGCTGGGATGTCGTCAGGGACGGAGGCATGACCATCTTGGACTGCACGTCCACCTATCGGGAACACGGGCTGCCCGACCCCCCACCCGGCGCACCCGTGCCGTCGGCTGCCCAAGAGGCGTTCGTTGGTGGACAGCATCAAGCGACACAGCAGAGGTGGGAGTGAGGTGAAGGTCTTCTATGACAACGGCGACAACACATCAGCAATCAGCCCCCTCTTCCGCGATATGGCCTTTGGCGACGTCAAGCGTCTCGAGGTGGCATACCAGAACCCCGACTCTGACGAGCTCTCCTTTGCGTCACTCCCTGAGTGGCTCGGCGGGGACGGTGCCCTGGCGGCCGTCACGCACCTCGAGCTCTGCCGTGTGGGCAACACGAACCCGCCGCCAGACAGCCTCTTCGTCCCGTCCACACCGAACCCGCTGAGCGGCTTTTTGTCGAGACTGCCGTCCGTCGAGCGTGTCACCATTCGGTGCATCGATGGCATCATGGCGTCTGAGCTGCTGGCCTATTTGGCCGCCGGACGGGGGCCAGATGACCCGCCACTGCAGGAGGTCGAGATGGAGGTGGCGGGGCAGTTGGGATACGGGTGGGGGGAGGACACGCTGCCAGTCGTAATTGCACCCCCTCCCGCCCTCGTGCGCGACTATGGACGGATCACGAGATTCACGGTGGCCGTGAAGACCAACACCTTCACTGACGACGCACAACAGATCACGCAGGTGGAAAGAGGGGAAAACGGACGCACTTGCAAATGGACATCCAAATGTTCCGTTGCTTATTGGTTGTATCTGTGTGCGTCATCAGGTGCGTGAGGAGCTCACGTCCATCTTTCGCTTCATCCGGTGCGTCGCTCCGGCCGAGGCCCACCTGACGAACGTGCTCATATCCGCCAACCACTTCCCGCGGCCCCGAGACACGGACGCTGTCAAGCAGACATTCGCGCAGATGCACGACCACACCCACACCGTGCGGAGGGCCGGGCTGCGCGGGGAGCTCCGCGACAGGCTGCCGAAGTACGAGATGAGAGTGAGAGAGCTCTCTCTCTGCCACGGCATCCGTCTGATGTGGGATGGACGCCAGGAGCTCAACCAAGAGGAGGCAGAGAGGGCCGGGTTTGCGCTGCGTTCGGGCAGGCAGCTGCGCCGATATGCGCATAGGTTTGATGTCGGCCTGTTTCCTGATGATGCAGCACCCGAGGCAGCCACACAGGGGCCGGCTGAGTGAGATAGTGCATGTGCTGGCGGTTCTGCGGTGGTGTGTGTTTCGTGTGTGACGTCTAGCTTCACGCAGCTGGTGCCAGCTATGTGTTTTTCGTCTGTGTTGGTGATGTATGAGGAATGAGCCACCGAGAAGGCCTGCATTGGTGGGACCGTTGTATGCCGTGCTGCGTGCTATGCCTGCCCTCTGCTGTCTTGGTGCTCGCGGACAATTAATTGTGTGAGTGAATCACGACTCAATAGATATCGTGATCAGCGACTGGCTGGTGATTGGCATTCGACGTTTCCACACACACCACGCGCCCGTGAATGATGTGACCATGCACCACCCACCAGTCATGTCATGCAGAGGGCAAGAAACGTCGTCACCACATATGTGATGTCAGTCAGTCAGCTACTCACGATCGTTCATCATCATGCTGCTGCCATGGTCGCTCCTCGGCGCCTGATCGCGACGCGGCCTTGGCGCCCGTCTTTCGTCGACCACTGTGTCACCCTCTCCGCCATCGCCACCGCTCGATACCGATGACGCAGCCGCCTTGCGCTTCTCGCCACGATTGCCAGCCCCAGCAGCAGCTGGGGCCGCAGCTGGGGCGGCAGAAGGTGACGACACCGCAATGCCACCCAAGTCAGCTGCACGCAGCACACCACACACCGCGCAATGCAATGCATATGTGGTGTCCGTCCGTGTGTACGCCTTCGTGTGTACCATTCGTATGTTGCGGAGGGGAGGCCATCCAACCCAAACGTGGAGCAACAGACGATGAGGGGGCCACAGGAGCAGGAGGACCTGCAGACAGACAGCCACACATCCACGTGGGCCCTATCACAGCCATCCACTCATTGCTCATTCGTCGCCCGCCCCTTCCTGTACTTGCCTGCGTTCTGCTCGCCATCCTGACCATCACCGGCAGGGGGGAGAGCTATATCTAGTTGGCCACCAAACAGCACTTGTGCATCGGCCCCCATCACCTGCCGCGCTACTATCAATGTCCGCGGGAACCTCGCAGCTCCCTCCCTGCCGGCCGCGGGCGGCTCCGTCGTGAAGAGGAAGGTCCATGCATTGTTGAAGACGCTGTGGATGATGATGTGTGACTCAAATGTGTCTTCGGGCTGGTCACCATGCAGGACGATGACGCGAATGAAGGTGTCTCCTCTGTGCATGGTGCCGACGGTCTGACAGTTCCACACGGGTGGCTGCTGGGTGCCCAGGGCACGCTGCAAAGGAGAAAGGAGAAAGGAGAAGACACACATGAGTCAGTCAATGAGCGGGGCAGCTAGTGGGTGAGGCTCTTGTGTGTGTCCGGCTGGCTGACCGACCCACCCGTCGGCTGTGGCGTGCCGGGTCGCTGTGATCGTAGGCGAAGTGGACGGCGACCTGGGACCCTCCCCGTATCCTGAACACACACACGACCAATTGAATTACACAGCGGGCGATGCAGCCAACGCAACGTGTCTACTCGTACTCCCATTTTCTTACTCTCGCAGTACAGCGTCGTGAACTGAAGCAACCTCAAAACCTGCAGGCAAGCAAACAGACCATCCCCTTTCCCATCCTCCACCTCTTCCCCTCCCACGCCCCCGCCCCCCTCCCCCCACCTCTCATCTCACACACGGGGCTGTTCTCGTCGAATATCTCACGGAAGGGGCTGTTGGCCGGCAGTGTCTGGAGGGTGCTGATGGTGAGCCGCGACCCGCCCAGCCGGTCCTCGCCGTTGACGCGCTCGAGTGTGATGTCACTCTGGCCCGCTCGGCTGAGGTGGCGGCCGATGAGCGACAGCTGCCGCAGCGCGTCACGCCGCCCATCATACACGGCCCGGCTGCCCACCCCCTCCACATCAGCACTGGTCAGCTCCATCGGCAACCGCCCCTCCCCTCGCCCCTGGTGCATCGCCACCCTCACGAGTGGCTCCCAGCCATCCCAGTCGCCGCTCTTCGCGATCACATAAAGTATCTGTAGCAGGTAATTGATAGATCTCAGGCCATGGGAGAGGGAGATGATGTGCCTGATGCGCTTCATGGCGAGCTGGGCGTCATTTGCCTCCTCAGGTAGTCGGCAGACACATGCTGTGTGCCTCGGCGGCATGTGCAGCGGGTGCGGGCGAGGATGAAGACCCGGTATTCGCCGAGAAAAGGGAAGATCTGATTGTCGACGTCCGGAGGCAGGTCAAAAAGGCCGAGTGGCTGTCGGAGGGCGGCCTGAAGCGAAGGGCGAAAGCAACAGGAGTGATTCATCAAACGTCATGATGGTTTGTGTTTATAGATGTACCTGTGGTGAATCTACAGCAGCAAGGGGCTCATCACCCAACTTCGCCTGTGGGTGGCAGGGACTCACGGCCATTGTCGCGGGGTCCAGGGTTGCCGGGGCTTAGGGTTTGAGTCCTTTCTCAACGGTCGGCGAATTCGTTTGAGTGAGGTTGGGAGAAGGAAGAAGGAAAGAAGAGGACGAAAGGAAAGAAGAGGACGAAAGGAAAGAAGAGGAGGAAAGAAGAGGACGACCCCGCTTTTCTTCCCCCTCCCACCCCACCCCCTCTCCGAAGTGTCCCGATGCTCTCCGTCATCCTGGGTCTGGTGTCCGTCCTCCTCGCCGCACACGCGGCCGCTGCCGAGCCATGCGATACCCAGGAATGCGGGGCGCTAGCAAGGGACATCAAAAAACACATGGACACTAACGTCGACCCTTGTTCGGTGAGAGGGACCTTTCCCCTGTGCCAGAGGGATGTGTGCGAGTGTGTCTGTGTATTTGGGGGCGATGTACGGGTGTGTTCCGTGTGTTCTCGTGTTGGTGTGTCGCCTGTGTCTGCAGGACCCGTATCACTTCGCGTGTGGGAGCTGGCTTGAGAGTTTCGAGCTACCCGCCGATCAGTCGTCGTGGACGCTGTCGTTCTCCCAGATCGCCAACGACACGCGCAACGCCTTGCAGGAGCTGATAGAGGAGGCCGACGGTGCCACCAAGTGCACCTTCGACAAGGAGGTCACGGGCGATGAGCAGTGGACACAGCTCATGCACTGCTATCACCAGGTCAGTCAGCTATACTCACACACAGGACAGGTAGTGTGAGTCGCCATTTCTTACGCAACGGTCTGTCTGTCTGCGGCTTGCCCCCTCGTGTGTGTGTGTGTGTGTCAGTCGTGCATGGACGAGGCAACGCTGGACAGGAAGGGGATGACGCCCCTGCTGAACTTCATGGAGAGGGAGGTCCCATTTTTCCTATCCCTCCCAGCTTTCGAACAGTATCGCACCGCAAGGGACCTCAATCCCCCGGCAATGGCGAAAGACTTCGACAGTGAGCACAGCACCCACACACAACACAACGCAGGCAGGATAGTGTGTTGTGTTGTGTGATGTGTGTGGTGATTCATTTCATTCAGCGGAGAAAGGTCGGGGGGACTTGGCGGAACAGCTGGCGCGGCTGCACGCGAGGGGCGTGTCGGCCTTTGTCACCGTGGGGCCGTCCATGAACCCACTCGCTGAGACCAAGAAACAACAAATGTACCTCTGGCAGGTCCGTAGACACACTGAGACACCACCCTCAGACACACGTAGACACGGTCTCTCTCTCTCTTTTCTTCTGACAGGATGGTCTCGGCCTTTCTTACTCGCAATACGATGACGATGCCGCCGAGAAGCCCTACCTGGAGCACATCACCAACCTCTTCGACCTCATCGACAAACACATCGCCGACCCATCCGAGATCCAGGTCATGACGGCCTCCCGCAAGCAGGAACACAACGCACTCAGGCGGCGCGCACAAGCAGACGACAGCGACAGTAGCAGCGAGAACAGGAAGCGGGCCGAGAAGGTGCTTTCCCTTGAGAAGGAGCTGCACAAGATTACCCTCGGGCCCGAGATGCTGCGCGACCCGATTGCGACGACCAACCAGCGGAGCTTGAAGCAGATCCAGGACAAGATGCCCCACTTCGACTGGGCCAAGTATTTTGGGTCTTACGAGGAGATGGGGTACCTGCCGGAGGGCGCCATGAAGATGGGCAGCACGGTGGTGGTCCACAATGTCGAGTACTTCGCCAACGTCGACAAGCTCATGGCCGAGGCGGATCGGGACACCATGAACGACTACTTCCTTCTCAGAACCATGAGAGCGTACGCACCGCTGACCACTCACACACACGCGCGCGCACACACGCATACCCCTTGTGTGTGATGACATACATCGCGTCTATCCATCAGGTGGTCCGACTACCTCAGCAAGGACTTCCGTGAGGAGTTCTATTCCTTCGAGAAGAAGCTGTACGACGTCGACCCCAAGCCGCGGTGGAAGCAGTGCGTCGACGCCACCAAGTCGACCGTCGGATGGGTGCTCGCACGCGAGTTTGTCCTCAAGAAATCAACACCAAACAGCAAGGTAAATAAATGGGCGCACGGGACGGGTGGCAGCGAGGGATGCGCACCAGTGCTAGCTGCCTGTGTCTCTATGTGGTGTGCTGGTGTGCTGTGCTGTGTCGTGGTGCGCGCAGCAAATAGCCGAGGAGATGCTTTCGAGTGTGCGCGAGGCCTTCCGGGACGACCTCAATGAGCTCTCATGGATGGACGACGAGACCAAGTCAGCCGCCACAGACACCTCCCCCCTTTCAACCAAACACACATAAGTGGTGTGTGTGTGTAGGGAGGGTGCCTTGGAGAAGGAGCGGATCATGAACCAGAAGATCGACTACCCCGACTGGCTGCTCGACGAGGACGAGGCCAAGGGCTACACCTCCTACTTCAGGAGGTTCTACGGCGACCTGCCACTCAAGCCATCAGAGGACAAGAAGGACACCTTCACGGACCTCTTCAAGCTCAGCGAATACCTCAACCACGCCTCCGTAAGCATCATCACTCACATGCACGGCATTTGCCCTCGTCACGCATTCGATTGGTCGCGTCCCATGTGTGCGCGTGTGTGTGTGTGTGTGTGTGGTTGAATGCCCCAACCAACAGACGCTATACGGCATGTCTGATTTGGGCAAGGAGCCTGACGAGACCATATGGGGAATGCCCCCCACCACTGTCAACGCCTACTACTCCAGATCACTCAACGAAATGGTCAGTCCGCCAGTGGACGAACGAGGCGGTCGACGTCATTGCTATCCATCCCCCTGTGTGTCTCCTCTGCGTGTGTGTTTAGGTGTTCCTGGGTGGCATCCTTCGAACGCCCTTTATGCGTGGTTTTGCCGACGACATCGACGCGTCCCACAAGCTGGCCCTCGAGGCACTCAACTACGGCGCGGTCGGGGCCGTCATGGGCCACGAGCTCACCCACGCATTCGACGACGCCGGGGCGCAGTTCGACGGCGAGGGCAGGCTCAGCAGATGGTGGACAAACAAATCAGAGGTCGGTGAGCCCAGCCACCATCTGAGACAGGCATTTCCTTACCCCCTTCCACATAATGGATGGATGGATTGCTCGGTGATGGATGTGTCTTCAGTCGGCGTTCCAGACCGCGACGTCGTGCATGGTTCAGCAGTATGGTTCGTTCGAGACTCCTGAGGTGGCGGGGCTGATGCTCAACGGCAACCTCACCCTCGGAGAAAACATCGCCGACAACGGCGGATTCCAACTCGCGAAAAGGTGAGTCTGTGAGTGCGTGTGTGAGTGAGTTGGCGGCAGATGGATCGATAAGCCGATTGACTGATGGACTGTCTGTGCGTCTGTCTGTCTGTCTGTCTGTCTGCAGGGCATTGAAGAAGAAGCTGGGTGCCGACTTCTCGTCTGTGAAGCCTCTGGCGGATATGGACATGACAGTCGAGCAGCTCTTCTACGTCTCATGGGCGCAGACATGGTGCTCCGTGTACACTCCCGCCACTCTCAAACGGTCCGCACCCCCCGCACCCACCCGAACACACACACACACAGAGACACCATCCATCCATCATGGCGTGGCGTGTGTGTTGTGGGGCCACAGGCGTGTTGGTACGGACCCCCACAGCCCTGGCATGTTCCGGGCGCTGGGTGTGCTGCAGAACTCTCAGGATTTCTCGGAGGCCTTCGTCTGCAGGGAGAACGACCCCATCAACACGCCGCCAGCAGCACTGCAGCACAGGTGTCGTGTGTGGTAGTTCGTTGCCTGGCCTGCGTTTCTGCCTTCTTGCTTGGGGTAGCCTCTCCTTTCTCTCTGTGTGTGTGCGTGTGGGTGGGTGGGTGGGAATTGCGTGTCGTTTGATGTCGGTGCCATGACGATGACGTGAGATGACACGACCGAGCGGTCAGCCACAGTGAGCGAGGACTCGAGAGGGGGCTTTTTGTCACCCATGTCCGTCAGACAGACAGAGCAGCATTAGGGGCACAGCACTTGACGTGGTTGCTGGTAGTCGTGGAGTTATCTGCTTGTGTAGCTGAGCCAGCCGAGCTGTTCCTCTCCGCGCCCCGCGCCCTCTCAGTTTTTCTGTCTGTGTAGTATTGGTGCCGTCGGTTAGTATGGGTATTCCATCGTACAGTAGCCAAACATCCAACCATCCATCCAGCCACAGCCAGCCACAGCCAGCCAATGATTTTGACGGCCGGTGTGATATATGGCATCCTACCATGGCATATGTTGCGTGTGTGTGCTGTCCTGTCCTCTTGATAGAGTTCCCAGAGGCCAGCCCAGCCCAGCCCAGCCAGGGAGAGGGAAAGCCATTGGATGGGTTGCGGTGGAGTGGAGGGCTGGCGTGATCGCAGCCAGGGGGGCGGGGCGGGGGACACACGCGCTTCTGGCTGGCCAGGCGTGGCCTGATGGATGGATGGATGGGCGTAGATGGGTGGGCAGATGGTCCGTTTTTCGACTGACTGAGTGAGGGACAGGCCTGGGCTGACACATGTACCTACCTGCGTTTTGCCTGGCTGCCAGTGGCCTGATGGGTGGGGTGAGGCATCTCCTGTTTTCTTCCTTTTTCCGTTCGTTCTTGCTGGTGCTTCGTACGTGCCTCTCCCCCTCCCCTTCCCTCCCCCCAGACACACATAGACAGCCCCTCCAAGTTTTTGTGCTGCCTGCCTGCCAAGAGGCACACGGCACGCACACACACACCTGCATGCCTTTCACTCGGAGGCTTTCCACACGCCCACCCTGCCTACATATCTATATGATGCCTGTAAATACCAATGTGTTACCTTGCCTTGCGTGGACTCTCCCTCTCTCTCTCTCTCTGTATGTGTGTGTGTGTGTGTTTGGTACACTATGCCCACGCCCCCCGGCTGCGCTGCTGTGGTGGAGCGAGTGCATTTGACGTGCAGGCAGACAGACAGGGGCGTTGTGCTGTGCTGTGCTGTGGCTGGCTGTGCGAAGACGGAGGGGTCCCTACTGACCCTCGTGTGTGGAATTCGGGCCAGCGGTGGGTTCATTCATGTGTGTGTCCTCTGTGTGTATTGCTCTTGTCTGCCTGTCTGTGTGTCTGTCGCCTCCGAGCCATGCGCGTCAGTCAGCCCAGCCACTTTTGCCATTGATGCATGGCTCATTCATTCATCGGTGTGGTGTGGTGTGGCGTGGGCGGCCCGACCTAATTGACAGACAGATGGTTGCCCCGATGACGATCGATCAGCGAGTGACTGACGTACACATGCCATGCACGTGTCGATGTGTGTGGTGTGTACCAACCTTGACGAATGGAATGATTGTCGGATGCAGCCAACCGTCTTTTGTCGACCGTGCACACAGTCTTATGTCACATGCACCGCCCACACGCTGGTAACAGGCCATATTTCTCCAGAACCACACGCACACACACGCACTTCGCCCGGCAAGTCAGCTCTTCACTCACTTGCCCTTCTTCTTCTCTCTGACATAGAGCAGGCCGCCCAGCGCCCCCGCCAACACCGTCGGCAGCATGACGAACACATAGCCAGCCTGCACACACAACACACAGACAGCCAGACGGACGGGAGAGTGATATGGGTGTGGGTGTGGGTGTGTGCCTGACCATGCTTGATATCGGCTGGAGGGCCTCTGCGATGAGCATGGCAACGCCGCTGTTGGCCAACGAGAAGTTCAGCTGACACAAACAGACACCCACAGAGCTCTAGACGATGACGCGATGATGCGCGGCTGCGTTGAGCAAACCGACCTTTTTGAATGTCCCGCTTGCCAACCGGCCCCTCTGTGCCGCATCCTGCAGACAGACAGACGACACACACACACACACACACACACCAGACCCTCCATTTATCGGGCGTGGTCCGGGCGGCCCGCACACCTCCTCACTTACCTGTAGCACCCACAAGACCGCCAGCACCGGCAGCAGCTGCGCCCCCAGCAGCCTCCCAGCTGACAGTATGCCCCTTTGCGATAATGACGCGATAGGAATGGCCGCCCCTAGGTCAGACGACTCCTGGAGGACACACACAGACAGACAGAAAACGACACGACTGCAGCCGAGCACACGAGTGTCGGTCGTGGTGTGTCATTCATGTGCGTGTGAGTGACCTCAGCGAAGATCCTTAGGAATACGAATGGGTTTGTGACGGTGACGATGAGGACGAGGAAGATGGGGATGGCCAGCAGGCGGTAGCAGGCGCTCTTCCAGTTGGTCTTGCTCGAGTCAAACAGACACACGTAACCATCACCCACCTGCATACACGTATCGTGGATGGATGGGTGGTGCGTGTGCCGTGCCGCCCCGCCCGCCTACCCTACCGATCTGAATGCGTCTGAGATCTCTCCCAGGAGGTCCCGCGAGCCCTTGTCACGCAGGCCCGTCAGCAAGCCCCACACGCCCACAACGGTCGACGCCAACCCAAGAGAGGCATCGGCAACACCCAGGGCACTGCAGGCACATACCATACATCCAAAGCCATCCACCCGCACCGCACACAGAGTGTGAGCGTGTGGAGGCTTTTCTATTTATTTAGGCTCACGTCTGCTGTCCCAGAATGGTGCTGACGATGAAGGCCAGTGGGCCGAAGGTGACAGCCCCGCTGAGAAGGGCGAAGGTGACAAAGGAAGCGATGCCGTAGAAGGCGGCGCCCAGATTCAGCCTCCCGTATGTGGCGCTCTTCAGCCGCTCATTGGCTGTGGCGTCCTCTGGTATATGCAAAGCAGCCACAGGGACAGACACCTTGCAGTTCGTTAAGCCACTGCAGCTCGGCTCACCGAGCGCGACAAAAGAGGCGGCCAGCGGCAGCATCGACACGCCCCGCCACCTGCATCGCATCATGTCAGATCACACGGACACGCAGAGATCTGTCTGTCCCTCTCTCTCGTGCTCAGCTCACTCACTGCAGCAGGTGCTCTGTCCCGCCCGCCGCATCCGGCAGCATGCTCGTGGGCAGAATCCACCCAGCTACATTCCTGCAGCACACACGTACTGTATGCGATGTAGGTGCTCGGCCGCATGACACACATGTCGATGTATGTGTTGTTTGTTTCGATGCGGTGCGGTGCTCACCATGCTGCCAGCACGTGAACGACACCATAGACTGCAACCAACACGCCCAGCACCTGATAAAGGGCTCTCAGCAGCTGCCGCGGCCAGGTCAGGCCGCCATTGTCATCATTGCCGCCATCTTGCTTCCTCCGCTCCTCCGTGAGTGTGTTGGCTGGCTGCGCGTCGTCCTCAGCATAGAGCGGTTGCAGCACAGATCTGCACGGCGGCGAGACGACGAAAGTGGTGACGGGGTGGGAAAGGGGAGAGGGATGGGTGCCTGAGAAGGGCGTTGTTCGTCTGACGGCCTGGGCGGCTGCAGGGATGAATGCTGGGTGGGATTCATGGCTCAGTGCAGCTGCATTCAGGCAGATGGCGGGGAGTGCAGCAGCCACGGATAGAAGATGCAAGTAATCCATTCTCGTAAGGGCTCTCGCCGAGATAAACATTTGAGCCCGCAGAGGTGAGGAGATAGGGAGGAGATTTACACAGCTCCGAGTCACACAGACTCGCCCCGACTCCACTATGGAGTCTGTTGGTGCTGGCGGTCGCATGGATGTCATTCACGAAGAGTAAGCACAAACAGATCTCTCCACCACCATTTCAATCACTCCTTTCCTCAATTATCAGCCCACCACTTGCTCACGAGCCAAAACACGGGCAGCAGCCGACGGCGCCTGCCCCGACGGCCGGCCCGGACGAGGCCAAGCCCCTGCTACAGAGCAAAAAGACCTCGCAGCTCGACCCTGTGGCATTGGTTTGGATGGATGGATGGATGGATCTGCACACGCACCATGACGCCATTCACGACACACTGCAGGGTTCTTTCTCATCCATTTATCGGTGTCCTTCTCTCTGTCCACGTGCAGGGCGTTGTGTATGGGATCGCACTGACGGTGGCCGTGCAGCCCGCCAGCCGAATGGCGCTCCTCTATCTCTTCAAAAACGACTTCAGAGGTAGGTCGCTTCGCCAATTCGGCAGACAGACAGGCAGGCAGGCAGGCAGACAATGCAGAGAAGGATGAAGGAGAGGAATGGCTGGGTCAATTCCCGTCGGTGCAATGAGTGTGTGTGTAGCTGGTCCGGCCGTCTTCGATGCCTTCTATAGCGTGATGAGCATCCCGTGGACCATCAAGCCACTCCTCGGCCTGCTGAGCGACTCCGTCCCACTGGGCGGTAGCCGTCGGAAGAGCTATGGAATCCTGATGGCCGCCATTGTTGCCGTGACCATGGTCGCCTTCCACCAAGTCAAATCTCCGTTGCAGGCTTCCTGCCTCGTGTTCGCGAGTGGATTTGGCATGGTGGGTGGGGTGGGGCGGGGCAAGGCGGACGGAGCAGGAGATTGATTGTCTGCGTGCTGCGGTTTTGCTGCTCAGGCGTTCTTGACGGTGTTGGGTCAAGGCGTGTTGGTCGAGCAGACCACAGGGGAGAGCCTGCAGGTCTCATCCAAGGCGTGGTCGGTCTACTACTCTGTCAGATATGCAGGGTCAGTCATCCGGCCAGGCAGACAGAACAGAGAGTGGCAATGTGGCGGTCTTCTCTGCGCTCAGGTTTGGTTTGGCGCTGTATTACGTGTCTGTGGCCCTCACGGTGTGGAGGCCTCGGGCGGTGCTGACGTCGCTGGCAGTCCTGCCCTGCCTGCTATTCTGCTGGGTGCTGTGTTTCAAGGAGAGGAACGACGGCATGCTGCAGGTCGTCCCTGCAAGGGAGCAGATCGGACGGCTTTGCACATTCTTCAGGCAAGCCTTTCTCACAATGATTCGCGAAAAGGGATATGTGTAATTTATCTTTGTTGCAAGTGCAGTTTTCGCGAGGTGTGGGGCCCGATTCTCTTCATATTTGTGTTCGTCTGCACCCCGACAGTGACCTCCCCGATGTTTTACTTTCAGACAGACACACTGGGGTTCACGCCATGGTAACGATGAAGGGCAAGCTCTTGAAATCTTCTTTGTGCGCGTCTGTGCCTCTCCAGGTTTATCGGGATGATAGACATCGCCACGTTGGTCGCCGGCATCCTGGGAATTTGGACGTACCACACATACTTTCGCGAGGTCAGATTCAGGTCTCTCTACTTCGCCGGCACCATCGTGGCCTTCCTGCTCGGTCAGACAAAATGGATAGGCCGGCATGCGCCATGCATGGCGCCATTGGTTGGCTGGCTGGCTGGCTGGCTGTTGTCTGTCGTGTGATGTGTCTCAGGGACGACCCCGCTGATACTCATCCTGAGGGTCAATGTGCGGCTGGGCATCCCCGACGAAGTGAGTGCATCAGCATTGCTGGCTGCGTGACGTGAATGCGTTCTTTCCTCCCCTCCTCTGCTGTTTAGGTCTTTGTCCTCGTCGATGAGTTCATCATGTCAGAAGCCTAGCATCACATCACACTGACGCACACATGGCTTGGTTGTTGGTTGGTTGCTGATGAAGGACGGCGTGTCCTGTGTGTGTCAGGTCGGTTGTGGCCGAGTGTCTCTGGATGTGAGATCCGATCGCGTACATATACACATGTGAGAAGCTGCATTCCTGTATCCGATCTCAGGCCGCTTATGGTCCTCTCCGGCCGCATATGCCCCGGTGGGCATGGCATGCCAGACCGTCATGCGATCTATGTGTTTTCCCTGTCTGTCTGTCTGTCTGTCTCTGTGTCAGATGGCGTAGAGGCGACCACCTACGCGATGTTCCTGAGCGTCAACAACTTGGGCATGTTTGTGTCGAGCGAGTCGTCGGCTTTGCTCGCCTGGCTCCTCGGCATCACGTCGCACGACCTCTCCAACCTGTGGCTCATGAAGGTCATAACTCTCATCCTTGGCCTGTCCCCACTGCTAATCCTGCGCCTAGTGCCCTCCGACGACCACGAGGCCCTAAGGGCCAGATACAAAGTCAGCGAGCACCCAAACAAACAGAGACACTTCTTCCTTCGACTCGTGTTTCTCCCCCCCGCTCTCTCTACCTGCAGCTGCAGCAGCAGCTGGACGTAGAGCGTCGTATCAGTTCGAATGGAGATGCCGCGCCCCCGCCCCCCTCGCTGACATCGCAGACGACCGCCAGGAACGGCGGGCTTGACGAGAGGAGGCGATCGTCGATGGAGTCACAGGCACTGTCGTCAGAGCCATCGTTCGATAGGGTAAGTGAGCGACTAAGAGGTCTGACCGGCGTGTGTCAGATGGACGTGGATATGGAAGTGATGTGTGGGCCGGGTGTCTGCTTCAGAGTGCCGGCATGTGATCAAATGCCCGGGCGGACAGGACACCGGCAACTGCTTGTTTGTTACAAGAGCTGCGTATGCCTGCGTGCGTCGTGGGTGCACTGGCTGCCTGTGTGTGTCTCTGAGTGAGTGCGCCCGATTGTGTGAACACCTTGCAATTGCTGGAACCACTACTTTGTGTGGTGAATTAGTTATCGTCCGCCGTCGACGTCGCATGCACCACAACAGCAGTACCTACCGTACCACAGTGTCAGCAGCTGATCCTGATCGAGGTCAAAAATGTGGGTGAGCAATAGATAGCGAGCCAGCGAAGGAGTAGGCATTACACACACAAACGCAACGCAACTCAACAGTCAACACAACACCGACCTGGGTCATCCATCACCGTAATAGCGATAGACAATAAGGACAACAGCAAGACTACACAGACGCCCACGAGCCAGGCCAGCCATCAGCCGCCCGCCCGCCCGCCCCGCCCGTGTGCACACAAAAATATCCCTGTGGTCACTCTCACTCACTCACTCACTCAGTCAGTCAGTCAGTCAGTCATCGTTGGTTGCGAAAAATAGCCCCCCGCGCCAGCAATGACAGAGAAGAGAGAGAGAGAGAGAGGGACTCACTGATATCATTGTACGCCTGTACGGTATGGTACGGTACGGTATGGCATGGCATGATGTGATATGGACGCCTGTCTGTGTGTGCGGCCCGCTCCCTTTTGGTGGTATGAAAGGCCGCCTGCAGGCAGGCAGGCAGGCAGGCAGGTGTGAGTGGTGGGCCACCCCACCCCACCCACCACCACCACAGAGACACGGCATTCATGTCACGAGAACAGCACACACACACACACACACACGAGCATGTAATGTATGTGAGCATGTAAGTAATGTAGATAAACCTCAGCTCAGGGCAAATGACTAGATGGACAAACCTGAGAGCACGGTCCGCGCTCGATTACATTGATTGCACTCACTCACTTATATACATCAATCATCTTGCACTGTTGCATGATTGTCAAACCTGATAATTATGACGACGTGGCCACGCCCTTTTCATGCATTCCTCCCGAACACGGACATGCACACCCACACCCAGACGTGGACACACATAGACAGACAGACATGACATGGTACGCGACAGACAGAGAGATGTATGGTATGCAGCCACACTCATTCATGGGTATGCAGAACAAATAGCCCCCAAAACGGCGAACTGGCCGGCTGCCACAGGCAGTCGCACGGGCGGGCGTCCCATCCCATCCCAATATCCAGCCCCTACGGGCGGGCGTCCCATCCCATCCCAATATCCAGCCCCTCCTCGCCCGCCCGCCGACCCCCAACCACCCAACACGCAGACTTCGCCGCAACACGCACATCACATGACACACCACGACACACCACATCACGACACACCACTCATCGCAGCACTCACTCACTTCGATCACACACACAGAGCCAGCCAGCCAGCCAGCCAGCAGCCAACCACCACCGTTAAATCACACACAACACAACACAGCTCTCCCCATCCGTGCCTCCATCCCTCTCCCGCTCTCTTGGTAGCTAGTGGCTGGTTAAAATGCGGTTGCTTCGCTGGCCTTCACTTGAGACAAACAAACAGACAGGGACACATGCATCGCCTCACACACAGACAGGTAGGTGGGTTGATGGAAGGCTTTTGTCTCTAGTCGGTGGCCGGGTGTGTATGTGTGTGTGCATGGTACGTTCGTAAGCAGGTGAGAAATAAGTGAGTGAGAATGTGGTATGTGTCTGCCATTGATGGCTGACTGTGCAAGAAGGCCCAACCCCGCGCCGGCCTGCCCCGCCCTGCCCTGCCCTAGTGGCGGCCAGCCGGCATATTTGGCTCGCTTGTGAACATCATCTCATTGACACAGACAGATAGACAGACATTGAGGGAGGAAAAAGAGGACTACAGTACCAGAGGTAGGTAGGTAGGCAGACAGGGATGGGGGACACACGCACACAAACGTATGTAAGAGAGCAAGCAAGCAAGGAAGCAAGCAAGGAACCAAGCACTCAGGCGTCAGTCGGTATGGACGCACAATAGCACGCACCCACCCAGTCAGTCCTCTCCTCACCCGCGGAGGCACGAAGAGCCCTTCTCCATCCAATATGCACGCCACGCAAAGGAAAGGAACCCCTCGCCCATGGACGGATGGATGGAGGAGCGCCATATCCAGGCTATTGCCTTGCCCTCCCGGCTGACCGATTATTAATATCAGACACATTCATACTGCCATCCATCCATCCATCGCAAAATGAGCATTACATTGCCTTCTCCTCCCTCCCCTCCCCTCCCCCTAACTCCCTGCCCCATACGAAGGCAGCTGGCAGTGTAGAAAAACACCGATCGGTCCAAGTACTTACGTAAGATGATATGACTGACGATTCTGCCCCTCACCCTGCCCACACAAACGCCCCCCCTCCCCTCTCCCCTCCCCCCTTCCCCCCCGTGTGGTACATACAAATAGTCCCGCTCCCTTGCACCTGTACATGTATGCATTCGTTGCTCTGTCGATCTCCCTCTAGGACCCCTCCTCCCAGGTCGGCGGCTCCCGCGACCCCTCCTGCTGCCTGGGGCCATGGCTTGCCTCACTCCCGCTCCCGCGCGCTGCCGCACCTGGAGGTGCAGTGCTCATGGGGGAGAGGTGCTCGGCATGCTGCTGCTGCTGGTGGTGCTGCTGGTGCTGCTGGTGCTGCTGGTGGTTGCCGGAGTTGCTGAAGGCCGGGGGCTGGCGGTGCGTGTGGCGGCTGGCGCGAAGGGGGGGCGACATTGGGGGCCGCGACGCCACGCAGAGAGGGAACCACCCGCACAAGGACCTCGCCTTCTCGCTCGGCGTGTCGATGGGCTGGTATGAGACACGCCCATAGCCCCAGCCAGTGGCCGTCCTCGCGAGCAGGTCTACCACGTCGCCTTCACGCAGCTCGAGCAGCGGCGTGTGTGACTCCAGAGGTGGGGGGGCAGATGCTGCCACGGGCCCGATGAGTGGCCGGGCGGGAGCGTCAGCTGGGTCGGACGGTGCCTGTTTGAGTTGCACGCCGACCGCGACCTCGACCCTTCGACTCGACTCGCTTGGGCCAATACGAGGCGCCTCCTGAATCACAAAAGCAGGGCACATGCCAGGGGTCCTTGTTTGTTCCCGCGATCTGATCTCGCGAACACATACCTCGGTCGCCGCGAAGGGGTGTGTCCCGTGATATCTGCGGTAGATCGGCGGCGCGTCCTCAGCCCGTGTCCAGCCCCCATGTATGGCGACTGCCCGCCTCTCCTCCCTCGCCATCCGGATGCCCTCAGCCGCCTCGTCCTGCTGGCTCTGACGGGGCCGCTGGCGCCAGTAGCCGTGGGGGCGACCACCATCACCATCGGCTTCAGACACGTCTACGGGGGGGAGTGGGATCCGCCTGTCCCGCCCATCTCGCCGCGGCACACTCGGGACAGGGAGCAGATTCGGGGAATCCGTGTACCTAAAGACACAATTCACATAAACGTAACAAGGGGGGGTCCGTCGCTGGCTGTTTACGGCGGCGGCGATGGCGCAGATGGATGGTCCGGAGCAGCCGATGGGACCGATGGGGGCTCCTGATATGCTGCAGTGGAGGGGCGGGGCGGCCCTGGGGCTGCGCCTGGTCCTGGCATCCGCTGCTGGGTGGTCTGGAAGGATCGAAGCTCTTCCCTGCCGTGGGCGAAACTGACGCATGTCACACACACGCGCACACGACAACGACGTAAGAGGCTCGCACAGGGAGAGTGTCCTTCCTTCCTTACTGGCAGTTCTTGCGTGTGCACCGGCCCGCCAGCCAGAAGTAGCACAGTTTGGTCTTGGCCAAGATGGGCCGCTGCAGGCAAACCAAGGAAGAAAACCAGCAAATATTCGATGCGTGTTGCCTGACTGATGTTTTGCTACCTCCCTCTTTTCAGCTTCAGAGTGGGCATATGTGCAGCTGCTGCCGTAGGTACAGAGACCTTGGGGATACAGGGGGCACATCTGCACACAACACAGCAAAGCCATCGAAGGAATGTGGTTGGTGGATCGATCTGATCTACTGTGCCATCTGGTCTCTCGCTCACCCACATACCCACCCACCTGTGTCTTATAGTACATTTGCTGTTCCTGCTTGGTCAGCGGCAGCCGCCTCCTCTCCAACCGGCCCGTGTCCGACGCAAAGATGGGGATGTGCCGCTTCAGGTCAGGAAAACGCGCAGACAAATCTGCATTCACACGCATAAGCAAGCAGCATTCACACCACACAGGACCTGCTGCAATCACGGCCACATCGGTACCCAGCAGCAGCGCGCTCGGGATCGAGACCTCCTCTGGTATGCCCTGGAGCGAGCTCGCCACAGCCGATGCTGCCACCGAAGCAGGGACGCCGCCGCCCGGCTGCCTCCCCCTGTTGCTGTCCGACACGCTCGTATCCTCATCGCTTGCCGGTGGGTGAGGCTGCGCCAGCCGAGGTGGGTGCCCACGGGGAGGGGGTGGAGGGGGCGGGGGCCGATGGTGAGTGTAGCTCGATGATGAGGATGGCGCGCTGCTCCCACCCCGCCACTCCTGGGCGCCGCCAACACCAGCAGGCGACGACAAGCGGCTGTTGTCCCAGCCCGCGCCGGACAACCCATACGAGTGCGGCATCACGGGTGTGTGCCTTTCGCCCGCTGCAGCTCCGTAGGACGGCACGGATGACCGAGGGAGAGGGTGGGCCGGTAAGGGTGCTTGCGGGTGTTGTTGCTGCGAGTAGTGGGGTGGAGGCGGTGCTGCCGCTGGTCGCGAGAAGGGCTGCACACGGACACATACACGAAATTGCACCGAGTCGACGGGAGCACAAACAGGCATCTCGTGACAGTCCTTGAGTGTGTGCCGTGCGCACCTGTGGCTGTGAGTGTTGTTGCGATGTTGGCGGCCGTCTCGTGGGGTCATACCGTGACATAGCAGGGAGCGCGGGGCGGCATGAGCATTCATGATAAGAGCAGTCAGCGCATTGAGTGGATGATGCACGACGTCGTGCGTATGAAAGGCAAGCCACGCATCAGGGACAGCCAGCAAGCCATGACCTGCACACACAAACACACGCACACACCATCAGGTGGAGATCTGGTGTTCCCTGTGTGTGTGTGTGTGTGTGTACCTGTTCATCACGGCGCCCCTCTCTACCTCTGCACACGCACTACACAAAATGCCACCACACCCAAAGCTCGCAATGTCAGTGGGATCGCCGAAAATAATCTTATGCAGGAGAAGATGAACGAAAGCCGCCGTGGTGCTTCCAGATGACTGCGCCTTCGTTCCTGCAATGATTTCAACTAATCCCTCCCCGTCTCTTTCTCTGTCTCTCACGTTGATTGCTCGCCGAAGCTCATCAGACGTCCACAGACGGTGACTCGTAGTCACGATGGCAGGGCTTTCCATCCAAGACCTCAGCAGGCCCCTCCCTGCCCACCCGTCATCCCCATTCGAGTGCCTCTTCGAGTACCGCGTTGCTGCCACTGCATTATACAGCGGCCGCCATGCCCCACGGCCCCCTGACTTGGTGGTGGTGGCGTGCGCTGCCACTGGCGAGGCCGTCACGTTTGTGTCGGCGGACAACCCCGTGTCGCTCGTCGAGGGGTTTGGGTATGAGGAGAAAGAGGCTGACGACGTCACTGGACGGGGAAGCTTTCGGGCCACGCTGGACTTTGCGGCCATTGGGGACACCTGCCACTTTGTGGTCGTCGGGTGAGGATTGGCCTGCAGCGGAGGAACATTTGCTTTGCAAAGGATGGTGCTTTCTTTGGTTGGTCGTTGTTTCATTCAGGCTATGCAGCCAGGAAGACACGCTGATGACCACGCTGGGTGTCGATGAGATGACTGTCCGTGCACACACTCAGGATCGGCAGCAGCGGGCGGCTGTGCATTATGAGATTAAGGACGTGAGTGCTGACGAACTCGCCGCTGCCTCTGTGGCCGTGCTCTTCATCTGCTACCAAGTCCACGGCAGGTGGTCGCTTCTTCCGGTGAGCAAGTTCGATACCATGAATCACTCAGGTGTTCAAGTTCGAAATCACTCAGGTGAGCAAGTTCGACAAGCCTGACCACGCCCCATGCTCCTACGACCAGCTCTGCGCTCTTATCATGGTATCTGATGCGATTCCCGCCTTGTTTCCTTCATAGTCTGTTGAATGAATGTCTGTGTATCCTTGGTGTGCGCAGGAAGAAGTATCTGCCGTCATTGGCCGGCTGCAAGGGGAGGCTCCTCAGCCTCAGGTTTCCCCTGTCTCTGTGCCTGTCTTCTCTGAGACTCGCCGGCGGAGCAGCAGCGTCGCTTCAGGTCCGTCACCTCGACGCTCATCTGAAATGAAGCAGCAGGAGCCGCGATTTGACACCCACTCGGTGAGTCAGACCACGAGCACAGTCAGCCTTGGTCATTCATCTCATATCTGTTGCAGACACGTCTAGTTAGTGAGCGCGCGGCGGTCCACCGGCTCATGCAGGAGAAGGAGGCACTGAAAGAGCAGCTGGAGACCGCTGTGCTGGAGAAAAGCCGCCTCAAGGCCAGCCACGATCAGGCCATACTAGAACGAGTCAGGAAGGAAACGATAGATATCCCATACCATCTCATGTCTGTCATCTTCACAACCCAATGTCCGTGTGGTGCAGTCGTCCCCCACTCATGCGGACCGTGCAGCGGTAGCCCGGCTGGTCCGGGAGAAGAATGCCCTCTCCGTCAAGCTCGAGGCTGCTCTGCAGGACAATGCCCGGCTCGTGCAGGAGAGGAGAGAGCTCACGACAGCCGCGGCTCAGCACCAGGCGCAGCACGCCGCCCTCACACAACTCTCGGAGGAGAATGTCGGCCTCCGGAAGGAGCTCGAAGACGCTCTGCAGCGAAGGGCTCGGCTCTCGTTCGAAGGCAAACAGGTGGCTGACTCGCTGCACCTTCTTCCCGATCACCTCCTTGCTGATGTCGCGTGTGTTCGCAGCAAGAGAGAGCCGATCGCGCAACGTTTGCGAAGCTGCAGAGGGAGAAGGAGACCGTGCAGACGGAGCTGAACGACGCACTGGCGCAAAATGCTCAGCTCGAACGAGAGAAGGAAGAGGTGACTGACACACACCTTCGTGTTCCACTAATGCCTCCCTGGCTCCCTTCCTGCTGATTTTCTGCAGGCAATCGCTGAGAACGCGACGGCGAGACAGGCCGTGAAAGAGAAGCAGAAGCAAAACGAGGAGCTGACCAGGGAGAATGAGCGGCTCAAGGAAGCGGTGAGCACGTGCAGGACGCAATACACAGACGGAAGTCGACTGCCTGTGTTGCATCTCTCGTCAGCAACGGCACTACCTCGGGAAAGTCGGCTACTTCGAAACCACGCTAGAACACCTGCGGACTGAGAATCGTGACCTGACAAAGGGCCTCAAGGGGGCGAATTTCAAGCACCAGTCGTCACTCGAAGACGTAGGTGATGATGCATGCAAGAGAACACAAATGGATCGTGCATGCCATGCACCACGATCACGTTTTGCAGATTCGACGCCTTGATGACGAGAAGATGACGCTCGAAGACCGTCACAGATCCGCCGAGCAAAGGGTGAGCGGGGGAACTCACAGGAGCAGCATTTAGTCTCTCACCCCACACATGCACCCTCTGTGTGTCGCCCAGTTGGCCCTTGCAGATGGCCGCATGAAGCAGCTCCATCGCGAGAAGGAAGACTTGAGAAAAGACCTGGAAGAGCACAAGAGACGCACACAGTCACTCGAGCAGGAGCTGACCGCAGAGCGGAAAAAGGCGAGAACGGCGACTTTTCCCGGTGCACAGCGCGACGGCGGCACGATGGAACTCAAAGGGCAGGGGCGAATGCTGCAGCTTGCACCTGAGGGGTACAAAGGAACTCCATGCCCCGAGGGAACTTCATATTTGTCCAAGGCGGATGTCATGCGGCACCTCGAGAACCTACTGCAGCACGGTCAGCCAGTTCCCCGCTTCAATTGTTGTTGGGCCCTCAGGTCATTCCTTCTGTGTGTATGACAGAGCTCGGCCCCTCTCCTCCCCCTGTCATTGGGATCGCCGATCAGCCTTCCTCAGCGTCAGACAAGCCCCTCGCCTCGCTGCACTCCTCTCTGCAGACTGCCCACACAGCTCTCAACCGCTCCATCACCCTTCTTCAGCACATCGAGGAAGGCCACGAGGGCAGAATCGCCCACTTCATCTCTAAAGCCATGACAGAGGCGCCTGAAGTCCATCGGTGGGTGCGGGGAGAGGAGCTCGCGTGGCTGGTCCGGATGTTGGTGAATGCTTGGCTGCCGAAAGGGAGCTCGATGAGAGGGAGACGGGGCGGCGAGGGTGGCACAGTGATTCGACCGGCGATGTGCCTCCCTCCGACGAGAGACACATCGCCGGTAAGCGAGTGGATCATGAAAGGGCGGCACAAGGGTGTATAGCATTGTGTCTCTTTCTCCATCGATCTGTGCATGCAGGGCAAGATCCGCCGCCCCCGAGCTTCAGCTTCGCCTTCATCCCGATCGCAGCCCCCTCCCAGCCTCTCCCTGCCCACAGCGATCCCCCGGCCGCCCACATTCACAGACGCGTGCTTCACAGAGTACGACTTGCAGCGATTCGACGGGCTGATGCGAGACAGGCTCACACCACGCGAGCAGAAATGGATGCAGACCCTAGTCGCTGACCTGCGGAGCCCCGACGGGTCTCGCGATGACGACACAGCGCCTTTATACCCCAGGAAGCCGCCGCATCGTGCAGCATCGCCGTCGCGATTGTCGTCTCCCCTGCCCCCGCAGCCGACCGACTATGACTTCACGCCTCCACAGACAACCCCGGACATTGACATTGACATTGACGAGGACACTCTATCGGTCGCCGGCTGGGCGATGGACCAGGAGACGAGTGGTGACAGAGCGACAAGTGGGTATGAGAGAGACATCGGTGAAGGTGGCGAGAGGGAGAGAGAGTTGATGCTGCCCAAGAGCAGGATGGGGAGGGGCCGGCGAGAGGTTCGGTGTGGGGTTCCCCGTGAGATAGTGGAGTCGACTCGTGAGATGCGAGTGTATCTTGACGGGCTGACCAAGGCGACGTCTGAGTGCATGACGACGTGTGAAGACTTGCTGAGGAGGGCGGCCGGGATGGACAACGAATGGAGTTGACCAGATGGCGGGATTAGTATGGTTGTTGAGAATTGTTGTTGGCTGTGTATGTTGTTGGCTGTGGTGGTCGCTGAGACGTGTGTCTGATAAGTGGATGGTGATTGGTGCCTGCCCATTCTCTTGGTCTGTTCCTTGTTTCCTTGTGTGCCGTTAAGTAGGGACTTGTCATTCCTGCCCGCCCACTGCATGAGAGATATCGGATCACCATCGATGTTCATATGTCTCTCTCTGGCTGCACTCACTGGCTGCGCTGTACGAAGCACACAACTGCCAAGAACAAACAAAAATGCGGTCACCTCGGGGAGCACGCACACATGCAACACACACACTCACGATCACCTGCATGCGTCATCGCGCCACACACACACGTCCACCCCCACAAGACCGACGACACACCGAAGGCAAGCAGGCAAATAACCATGCAGAGAAAGATCCACCCATCCACCCACACGCCCACCCAGTGCTATGCTACATCCACCACAACAACCTCCCTCCTGCCAGGCAGTAAGTACCAGCCCCAAACCCATCGGGACCGACTATCAGCAGCTTTGAAACACTCCGCCCGCATGGCATGCACTTCCATCCATCCCTCACTAACGAAGGCCCAACACCATCTTTCGGAAGTCTTCATTGCTCTTCATGCCGCCCTCCGTGTTGGCCTCACTTGCTGCTGCCGTCTGCTCAGTCACGCCATTGGATATGTCCATCGCGCTCTCGTCACCTGCCACACCATTAGCCGCCTGCAGGCACGGACAAACAAACAAACAAACAAACGAAGAAGCATCCATCCAGTGAGTGAGGTCTCGAATACATACTTGTGTTCGTTCGTGCGTACCTGCTGCCCCTCTGCGGCCTCTGTCTGCTGGTGGGGTGCCGACAGACCCTGGACGTCAAGGTGCTGTCTGGGGTGCTCATGGAAGCCCCTTCCTTTACCCCCACCCCCACCTCGCCCTCCGCGGCCGCCTCTGCCGCCCCGTCCACCTCCGCGGAATCCGCCTCCCCGCCCGCCTCGCTGCGACTGGTCGAATGGCCGCTCTGGGTGGGGCTTAGGAGGGGCGATGGCACGGGTGGAGCGAGAAACGGTGAGCTCGCGACCGTCTGATAACGAAAGGCAGGAGAGAGAGAAATGGGTGATGGTGTGCCTGTCCTGTGTGTGGGGGCCTTTAGGTTGCGTGTGCTGAGCTGACCGAGTGTGGATCCGTTGAGCATCATGGCGCCCATGGCGTCTTCGGGCTTGGCGAACTCGAGGAAGCCGAAGCCCTTGGACCGGCCTGTGCTGGGGTCGCGGCAGATGAACGACTGGGTCACCTCGCCTATCTGCAGACAATGGACATGCACAAACAGCACACGGAGAAATGGCCGGTCAGCACTGTCACGTCACTTCTGTTCTCTCTCACCTGCTGGAAGTGCTGTTCGAAAGCCTCGTCGGTGGTCTTGAAGTTGATGTTGCTGACGTGCACGACCGTGGTGGCTTCGGGGGGCGGCGCGGCCTTGGCCATCTCCATCTCGTTGCGACGCTTCTCCTGAACACACACGCACACACAGCACATTAGAAGCACGTGTGTTAGGCCGGTGTGTGGTGTGTCTGTCTCTGTGTGTGGTCGTGTGAGTGACCTTGTTGGGCGGCGCTTTGATCCATCTGTGGTCCTTCTTGGGGATGGAGCGGGCCACACGGATGGGCGACCCGCCCATCTCCTGCACACACATACACATAGATAGAAGCCGGTCAACAAACAAGAAAATGGTGCATCCAAAGGCGCATGCCATTCATCCATGAGGGAAGTCACGCAAACTCACCGCTTTGTCGAGTGTGAGCGCGTTGACCACCTCGTCGTCGCTCTCGAAATCAACATAGCCGTAACTGATCGATCAGACAAGACACGCACACACACAGCATCCATCAGGAGAAGACGAAGCCACGCAAGTCTTTCCCTCCGATGACCCTCTTGCCCTGCCCACCTACCCTTTGAGATGCCCCTTGTCATCCCTCTGCAGCCTGACAGCTTTGACGTGGACGCCAGCCCGGGTTTTGAAGAAGGAGGCCACGTCGTCCTCGGTGGCCTCGTCGGGCAGGTCCTTGATGTACACCGTTCCCGCGTCGTACAGCGGGCGGGTGGGGTGCGACAGCAGCACCTGACCACCGACACCGCCAGCACAGACAGACCACATGCCGTCTGGTCTGCCTCCCTGGTTTCCATCTGTTTGTGTGTGTGCATCGCTCGTGATCACCTTCAGTGGTCGGTCGTGAATCTTGTGTCCGTTGAGCTTGTCTGATGCGGCCGCGGCGTCCTCGTGCGTCTCGAAATCCACGTAGGCGAAGCCCTTGGACCGCTTGGTGAAGTCACGCACCAAACGGATCTGTTGATGTCGAACAAACACCAAGACAACACAACCAGCACACATGTATGACCCCTCTATCTACTGTGTGTCCCGTGCGTACCTCCTTGAGCCCCTTGCACTGCTCGAAGATCTCCTTGAGTGTGTCTTCCCCGACGGATGTGTCGAGATTTGACACCCACACGGTGCAGGGCTCGTCCACAGAGGGCGGCAGCACCGACCCCTCGCCCGCATCCACCCGCATCGACGCAGCGCCGCCCTCGGCAGCGGCCTCCTCGGCACCCGACGCTATCCTGATGGATGGATGCATGTCAACACACACATAGAGGATACGGAGAGATGGCGCGTACGCGTCTGTGGCCTTACTGGTGCTGCCGGAGTTGGTGGAAGTGTTTGCCCTTGAAGGGGCTCTTCTTCTTGGCGGCGTCCTCCTCCTCCCCTCCCTGCCCTTCCTCCTCGTCCATCGCCATAACGCCCTCAGGGGTCCTCACCTCGCCAGTGGGGGGGCCCTCCACAGCCATCATGCCCTCACGCTCATGGGCTGCTGCTGCTGCTGCTGCTGCTGCCGATGATGAAGGCTGGGCCACCGCCTCGCTGTCTGCCGGGGGCTTCTTGTCCTCTCCCCCCTTGTCAGCTTCCTTGGCCCGCTTCCGCTCCTTGCCCCTCTCCTTGTCCTTATCCTTGTGTCGCTTGCTCTTCTTCTGGATGCCGGGGGGCAGCGGAGGGGGCGGCATCTCGTCAGCAGCAGCGGCGCCCTTGCCGGCTGCTGCTGCATGGGCCGCAAGCTCCTTGTCTCCACTCTTGGGCCGCTTGGGTGGCGGGGGCAGCTCTGGCTCGCTCGCCGATGCCTCGCTGTCCGACTCGCCCACACGGCGCTTCTTGCGACGACTCGACACCTGGCGGCGCTGAGCAAGGGAAGGGAGAGAGGGGAAGGCAAGCACACGTAACGATATAGGTGGGTGGTAGGTGGGTGTCACGTACGTCAGCGGTGGAGTCAGCATCGGATTGGCAAGGGGAACCCTGTCGCTCTGCTCGGCGGCGTCTGTTGGCCTCCACTTGGCGCCGGGCCTTTCGGTAGCTCTCGTTGGAACCGGACTCGCGCTCGAGCGCCAGCCACTCCCTCTCCAAATGCTAAAAGTGGTGGGCGACACCACACACACAGAGGAATGTACATGATGGTAGGTAGGTAGGTGTTGTGCCGCCACGCGATCCTCCCACCTTCTCTGCCTCTTCGTCTCTCTTTGTGCGTGTGTGCGTGTGTGTGCGACCTACCTCGGACAGCTGTGCGTCGTTTTTGGCTGCTTCGATGCGTTTGTCGAAGTGGGGATGGAGAAAGGAGTGCGAGTCGAGTTGGCATGGCGCGGCGGTGCGGAGGAGGTGGACACACTGCATGAAGAGGGGCAAGTCGGTGGGGTAGCGCGTGAAGAGCTTCTCCGCCAGCTCTGTCGCCATCTGCCAATCCTGCCCATCCATCCATCCATCCATCCATTTCCACAGCAGAAGGAAAGTCGTCTGTCTGTCTGTCTGTCTGTCTGTGTGTGTGTCTGTCGGTCTGACCTTGCAGATATTGGTTTCGATACGCAGCCAGTGCAGCCATATCTCCCGGGACAGCTCCATCTGCGGCAGGTGCTCCTCGAAGAAGCCCTCAGCCTGCACTCAGACAGACAGACAGGAGCAGCCAATCCGTCGACCAATCTTGATACATGAGGGCATACCTGTGTAAAGAGGCTTCTCATAGGAGACCAGTCGATGTCCTCCATGAGATCCTCCTCCTCGGCGGCCTCGTCGCCCTCGGCATTGCCCATCCGCTCCTGCTGCTGCCGACTCGCGTCAGCTGATCGATGGATGCATCACACACATCACAGACAGACAGACAGACAGACGGACACGCACACCACCACACACCACACACACATGGATGGCAACAGATAGAGACCCCGTGTGAGGGAGGGGGGGGGATGCGTACCGATGAGCACCCGTCGGATGCAGTCTGCGCACGTGAGGTGGAGCTCCAGAAACTCGGTCGCTTCGCTGAAGTTGCCCACGCGCAACGCACGGCTGAACGTCTCGGTCAAATCCTCCACGGGCGCAAAGATCTCCGCCTGCCCACACATCCAATCCACACCACACCACACCACCCCATGTACTGCACGCACACCATGGGAGTCCCTACGAATGAGCGTACCGTACCTGACACAGCATGAGCTCCTGCCACAGCTTGGCGGCCCCGGCCGCGTGTCGCACGGCCCTCTGGAGCACCACATGGCCCAGGTCGGAGCTCTTGACGGTGTCAAAGCAGTAGTCGGCGTACTGCAGCCAGAGGTCCACCCGGTGCGGGAGCTCCAGTGTGGCCCGCAGGTACGTCACCAAAATGCGGTTGGGGTCGCCCGTGGACAGCTCCAGGGCCACGTAGGCATCCCAGGCGGCCGTCAGCTCCTGAACCACATGAACAAACAAACATCCACAAACCGACGGGAGGGATGAAGCGAAGGGAGGATGAGGACGGCGGGTTTGGCTGACCTCGTCAGGGATTTCGGGGTTGCAGATTTTGAGCTCGAGTTCCTTTCGTTTGTCCCACTCCGCCTGGCCGGTGGCGTAGCGGGCCTCGCCCTCCTCGCACCCACGCTTGAGCTCTTCCGGCAGCTCCTCCTCCCACAAGCTGAAGATATATACACAACACACACACATATCAACACGTAGGCTTAAATGCTCTCTCTCTCTCACTGTGTGTGTGTGTGTGTGTGTGTGTCTGTGTGTGTGTGAGTGGTGACCAACCTACCGGTACTCGCAGAGTGTTTCGGGCAGCCCCCCCAGAGGCAGGGTGAGCTGTCGGTGGAAGATTTTGCGGGTCGTCCGGGTCTGCTCGGCCTTGTCGCCCTCCTCACCCTCGCCAACACGGGTCTCGTACGCCCGCCAGGCGCTCCAAATCTTGGGACCCTCCACGGCGTGGTGCCCAAGCGCGTCGACCGCCTGCTCGTAGAAATCCCGCAGCTGCTGCACACTCACCTGACAAACAACATAGCAAAGAGCAAACAGGCAGGAATGCAGCAGAAACAAACAAGTGGTGGGGAGTGTGGTGTGGTATGGGGCGATAGTTTGGCTTACGGATGGTTGTGTTTCGAGGAAGTGGAGGTAGGCAATCCAGCAGGAGGCGTAGGGCGCGAGGTCCACGGCCTTCTTGCACAGGTCCAGCACATCGTTGGCCGTCACCTGGGTGGGCGTCTTATGGTGCTCCTCGATCATGTCTGCACACACACACAGACGAGCATGGCATGCAACACCAACACTCCGCCTCTCATCTGTGTGGGTCCATGGATGGATGGATGGATGGATGGATGGACTGACCTTTGATCCAAACAGTCCAGAATTCGTCTCCCGTTGCTGAGTGTTTGGCGAGCAGCTCTCGCGTCTCGGTCACCAGCTCGGGGTACTCGTGCTTGCGGGCCATGTCGATCAGCGTCGCCCCGATCTCCACATCCAAAGGGTTGTCCTCAACCGCTTTCTGACCACACGCACACACACGCACGGACACACACGCAACCACACCAACAGAGAGTCAGACACATCCCGATCTCACCCCTCCCTCCCCCTCCCGCCCCTCCCTCCTAGACACCTGGAGCTGTGTGATGATGGCCTCGATGGACGCACCGCCCAGCTCGTCGTCCTCATCGTCGCCCTCCTCACCGTCCAGGTCGTCATCCTCGTCGAAATCCACGCGCATCGGCTTCAAGGGCCGAGGCGGACCCGCCGGGGCGTCTCCACCACCACCACCACCACCATGCTGCACACCCTCCATGCTGCTACTGCTACTGCTGGACGAGGATCCCACAGCCGCCTCGGACTCACGGGATGACATCGGGTGTCAATGGACGGACGGGCGAAAGGACGGCTCGTGTGCCGGGTGCCGAGAGAGAGGGAAGCGATTGATGAGGGCAGGGCGGGGTGAGCTCACTACTCGGGAACCACAGCCAACGCTGCAGGACGGGGTTGCGAGTGCCTCTACGTTGCTCGAACAATCTGGAGGGTAGAAATAGAAAAATTCGCTAAGTGGCTATCGTCAGGCACGCTGGCTGCGTCGCCACACGTCCTCTTGACCCGAGATCTGATGCGAGCTGAATGCGAGCTTCCACCAGGGAAGCAGTCGACTGGGTATCCGACCGCAACAAGTGTCAACGACGCCCTGCCACTGATCTTTGCATTCGCTTTTCGGTTCATCGACTGCATCTGTCGAATTGAGTTCATCCACTCCCGGCAGCAGCTGCCTCTTCTAAGCTTGGCGTCATCTCCCTCCCGCTGTCTGTCCTTGTCCGCCCGTCCCCGAGTAAGATCTATTTATGACGAGTGTTGACACGAGGTTACCGCAGAACAGGCCGCTGAAGCACGCCGACAACCCCGTGGTGTTCTTCGACATCACCGTCGGCGGCAACCCTGTCGGCCGCATTAAGATAGAGCTCTATCGGCATGTCGTCCCCAAGACAGTCGAGAACTTCAGGCGGCTGTGCACGGGCGAGTTCAAGCTCAACAACGTGCCTATAGGGTACAAGGGAGCTTCATTCCATCGGTGAGGGAGGGAGGGAGTGGGTGAGTGGGTGGGTGGGGACACACGGGGAGGGAGGGAGGGAGGGAGGGAGGGAGGGAGAGATTGCCTGGATGTGTTCATGTGTTGTGTGGGGTGTGCTGTATGTATCGTGTTGGGTGTGTGTGTGTCAGAGTGATCAAGGACTTCATGGTGCAGGGAGGGGACTTCGTCAAGGGTGACGGTACGGGCAGCCTGTCCATCTTTGGCGAGAGGTTCCCTGACGAGAACTTCGTCCTCAAACACGACTCGCCGGGCATCCTCTCGATGGCCAACACTGGTAACACCTACAGAAGCACGCACCCACAGACAATACCGATCTGTCACACGGTGTGGCTGGCATTCATGTCTATGTGTGTGTGTGTGTGTGTGTGTGGTGTGTGTGTGTGCAGGTCCGAATTCCAACGGTTGTCAGTTCTTCATCTCGTGTGCTGTGTGTGACTGGCTGGACAACAAGCACGTGGTGTTCGGCAAGGTGCTCGACGCCGACAGCATGATGGTCGTCAGGAAGATCGAGAACGTCTCAGTCGGCACCAACAACAAACCCAAGCTCGACTGCATCATCGCGGAATGCGGGGAAATGTAGACAGACAGACAGACAGAGATAGATATGTGTAGACTGCATGTTGTCCCCCTTGTGACGATGAAGGGACCGTAGAGAAGAGAACAGGGATGGGAACAGACGTGACTGTGTCCACGAGGACATATGTACAGACACTCCAAATGCGACAACGTGCGACCACCCTGGCGCGAGATCTTCCGTTTAGTTTACGTTTGGCTTTTTCTGAAGGCCGCAATTGGAAGGCCATTTTCCCTCTCGCAAGGATGTCAAGCGGCCACGGGAGAATGACGCCTCTCCTGCAGGGCACCAGCAAAGGTATCTATCCATGGATATTACCCACCAACATCTACGAACACCTCTTGCAGATGGTACGTTCGCCTCTGGCGATGGCCTGGGCAGCAAGACGAGCCGCAGCAAGGCGTCCGCTGGCGTGACGGGGTCTGCCCGTGGCCGCACGGGGCAGTCGGCACAGCCATCACCCACGCCAAACAACGGTGTGTGAGGGAGGGAAGCACCTCGGCCGTGTGTGTGTATATGTATTGGGTGTTCTCACACAGGGGGCTGTGGCTCGTTCTTCGTCGCACTCATCGAGAATCGGGCAAAGGAGGTGATAAACAAAGCGAAATCATCTTTCGTAGGTGTTTTGGTGTATTGTGTTGTGTGCAGGTTGGTGTGGCTGCGATGGACATGACTTCTCTTGAGATCGAGCTGCTGCAGTTCAGCGACAACCACACGTACCTGCAGACGGTCCGAACGCTGCTCACCTACTTCCCCTCCGAGCTGGTCCTCTGCAAAACCGCTGAGGGCAGCCGGCTGCACGAGGCCATCGTCGAGAACCACGACCTGGAGGAAGCCAAGATACAATTCATCGGTATCTAGCTAGGGCACACGGATCGGAGAGAACTGTTGGTGCCGCTTTCATTCTCTCTGTCCATTCATCCATTGGCAGCTCGGCGCTACTTTGACGAGAATGGCGGTGCGGCTTCGGTGAAGAGTGCCAAGGGAGCGAGGAAGAACATGGATATCACCAACAAGTACACACACAGCACCGCACCTCATAAGGGAAGTGAGCTGCCTCGCTCACGCACTCCTCGGTGTGTGTGGGTTGGCATGTGGTGTATGCAGGTATGTGGCCCTGGCAGCTTTCTCCGCACTCACCAAATACGTCGAGCACACACAGAAGATCATCCTGACCACAGACGGACTCAACGTATGAGACGCACACACAGACAGATGCGCCTACGACAGATGACAGCTCAGTCCGTGTGTGTCCCTGTGTTCTTTTTGTTTGTTTATGCAGGTATCGTTTCGTCATTTGGACGACTATGTGTTGCTGGACCCGTCGACGGTGGAGCACCTGGAGCTGCTGGCCGACACGAGACACGGCGACCCCAAGAAGTCCATCTCCGCACTCTATCGCACCAAAACACGCGGGGGAGGTGCGCAAATGCACCCCCGGAGAGCAAAGCAAACACGGTCCTCTGCACACGACAGACGTGTCCCCTGTTTCTTGGTTTCAGCGCGCATGTTGCGCCAGAGTCTGCTGCAGCCGCTCACAGACCCCAAAGAGATCAACGTGAGTGCAGAGTGACATTGATGACGGCAGTACACACATCACATTGTGTGTGTGGAGGTGTGTGTGTTTCTGTGTGTCGATCTATCTATGTGTGTGTGTCAGGAGCGCCTCGACTGTGTGGATGTGTTCCTCTCACACGAGCAAATGTATGGATGGATGGATGTCGGTCGGCACCCCACACGCAGGCAGAACATTCGTGTCACCCACCATCTCTGTTTGTTGGTCAGGTTCTTCGATACCCAGCGCGCGTTGTCGCAGTTCACCGACCTCGACCTCATCTGCTCAAGATTCGGTCAGCCAAATCCGCGCAGATTGGCACCGAGACCAGAAATTCTCCACCCTCTTTGCCTGCTCGTGTGTGTGTGTCAGTCGCCCGTCCGCAGCACAAGGACAACCGACACGGAAAGTCAGACCGACAGAAGGCCCACGGCGACCTCCACACGAGGAGAGAGAGAGTGTGTGTGTGTGTGTGTGTGTCAGGATGATGTTGAAGAGCACTCTGCAGCTCAAGCACACCATCCAGCTGCTCCCCAGCCTCACCAAAGCCCTCGAGTGAGAAAGAGAGAGTGACCCACACACGCACGGATGCATTTTGTGTGATCTGTTGTCGTGTGCAGGGAGGTGACGAGCGAGATGTGTCCCCTGCTTTATCTGATCAAGGAGAACATGTCCGACCCCCGGCTGGCGCTCATCGCACAGAAGATCGACGAAATCATTGATGAGGACGTCTCGCACAGGTGAGTGAGTCGTGACCGCTTTGCCCACGCAGAGCATCCACGTGTTGCATTGCTACGTATGTGTATGCAGCAAGAACAGCAGCCTGGAGAAGATCCATCTCTTCTTCGCGGTTGGTGGGCCATACAGTCACACAAACAACACATTCCCTCCCTCTCCATCTCACTGACCACCCTGTGTGTGATGTGATATGGGTGGTCAGATCAAGCCGGATGTGGAGCCGAAGCTCGACCTGGCCCGCAAGATTTACGACGAGACAGTCGAGAAGGTCTTCCAGCTGTTCGAACTATACAGACAGGAATGGTACCGTACGCACACCCCTGCGAACCGAACCTTACGGCATACAAACAAAGGCGTCCGTCCCTGTCTTTGTCTGTCTGTGGTGCATGTGATGTCAGGCCCGACCTGGGTTTGAAGATTGAGTTCACGGAGACACGGGGCTATCACGTTTCATTCCCGTCCTCCAACTTCGGCAGCGCGCCGCCCGAGCTCGTGCAGATTGTCAAGAAAGGCAACAAATGCCTCGCCACTTCCAGGTGGGTGGCCCTGCGGTGTGCTGCTGTATGTGTCAATTCGTCTCCTTAGAGGGGTGTGTGTGTGTGTGTGTGTCAGGAAGCTGAGCACGCTGTCGCTGATTCTGAAGGACTCGTCGATCGAGCTGTTCCGGCAGGCATCGCAGGTGCTGTCCTCCCTGACGGCATTCGTCGTCGAACACATACAAGTAACCACCATCTACCCCATCCATCCATCCATCCATGTGTGTGTGTGTGTGTCTCACTCTGATAGGCCTTGTATCTGCTGAGCTACTCTCTGTCGATGCTCGATTTGCTGCTGGCGTTTGCGGATTTCGTGACGTTGCGCGACCCCGAGTGCACGTGCCGCCCCATGTTTGAGGACGACATGCAGGCCATCGCCGTCAAACAAGCCACACACCCACTCGTGCAACGCGTACGCACAGAGACACACGGAGAACAAAGGGCTTCTCATATATTGTGTCTCGCATATGTGTGTGCAGTCGTGTGATCATTTTGTGCCCTTTGACTATTATATTAGCGACTGCACGAACTTCCAAATCGTGCGGGCGCCGAACGGGGCCGGCAAGACAAGTAAGCGGCCTACGCAATCACACCAAAGCCGATACACACAGTCCCTCTGTTGGTTCCTCGACAGCGTATCTGGAGACCATTGCTGTGCTCGCCATCCTTGCACACATCGGCTCATACGTGTCAGCCAGCAGACAGACAGACAGACAGACATGAGAATGACAACCAGCCTTTTGACACGTGTGTGTGCGCAGTCCCTGCGAGTTCTGTTCCTTCACGCCTCTCAAGAAGATCTTCACACGACTCGGTGAATACACAAGCGTCACGTCCATGCCATGCGTCTCAACACATATATTGCACCACGCACACTCATTGTGTAAACGTCTTTAGGCACCGGCGACAAAATAGAGGACAACTGCAGCACCTTCCAGTGCGAGATGAGGGAAATCGCATACATCGAACAGGCAGGCCAACAGCTAGATGGATGGCACCATCAGCCCCCATGTGTCTGTCCATGTGTGCAGTCCGTGAGCGTCCCCAGTTTGGTCATCATTGACGAGCTCGGCCGCGGCACCTCACACTCCGACGGTGTCGCCATCGCATGGGCCATCTCAGAGAAACTACTCGCGCTTGGTCGGTGAGAGCGCAATGGCATACACACAGGGAAACGGAGACGTTGACGGCTCCCACATGGGATGCATGTGATATGCAGGTGCGTTCACGTTGTTTGCGACCCACTACCACGTTCTCTCCAACATGGCCAAGCTCTACCCAAACGTCAAGAACGTCCACCTAGAGGTCAAACAGAGACAGACAGACATTGAGACATTGAGACATTTACTGGGTGTCTCTGTCCGTCGATGTGTGCGTGGATTGGATGCCATTGCATGCAGTGTGCGGTGATCAACGAGAAGCTGCACCCCAAGTTCGCCATTGCAGACGGGGTGGGCGAGTTCACCGAGGGCTATGGCATCAAACTCGCCGCTGCTGCTGGCTTTCCGCAAGAGGTCGGTCGCTTACCCACTCACTCACGTGAACGTGAGTGTGTCTGCTTATGTGTGGGTGCAGGTGATCGACGAGGCACTGGTCATCGCCGGTAAGCTGCGCGAGACCGAGATGGAGCGGTGGGCAGAGGCGCCTGACCAGGAACAGATGGCTAACGACAAAGGTCACACACCACACACACAGGGGAGGAGAGAGAGACAAATATATACGCCGAGTGCCTGTGTTTGTTTGTATGACTGGGTGCAGATGTGTATGCGGTTGCGCAGTTTTTGTTTTCGACTCTGCGGTCCACCATGTCAGACAACGAGCTGCGGGCCTTCTACATCCAGAAACAGAACGAGTTCTTCAACGGGCCACCGCCACCCGCAGCCCAAGGCATGGCCGACTGACTGAGATGAGTGAGCATGTATCGTCTCATCCTTACACACATGATGCCATCGCACGTACGTGCTGCGTGTGGGAGGGAGAACGACGTTTGCATGCGAATTGTCTTATGGAGCAAATGCGTGTGCACACACATGGCAGTCACTGAGCTGACAAAAGCTGCAACGCACAAATCTGCCCACCAACGGATAAATCACCGCTCGCCCAACCAGATTCGGAAGGACAGACGCGACACACACACGGAGGTCACATGACAGGAAAAGGTCACAGGTGGCTATTTCAAAATGTATATCATCGTGTTCGTTTATCACGTAGGTGGCATGTCCGCCACAAATATCGGCATCTTGCTCACAAACGAGCCCACATACATCCGATCGTTGTGCTCGAAGGCCTCACTCGTCAGCCTCACCCGACCTGAAGGAAGCAAAGACACACACACAGACGAGTGCATCGAGGAAAGACGCGTCGATTCCATGTGGTGTGGTGTGGTAGGTGCGTGCGCACTTGATGGGTCTGTGACGAGCCTCAGGACCTTCCCTGTGTCATCGATCTCCATCGCCCAGCCGCCCCCTCCACCCACAACCGTCACCAGAGTCAACAGCACAAGCACTTTATATGGCAAGCCAGCCATCAACTGACAATGGGAAACCACACACGCAAGGTCGGGCGTCTCGGCCTCGGTCCCAACTCACCTTTCTTATCCATGGGTACAGCCTGGCGACAATGGCTGCCCGGGTGGACGGAAGGGCCCCACCCACCCAGTAGGTGCCTCTCGGCGAGCGGTGGATGTTATCTGGGATGATCGGGTAGTTTCGCCCAAATACCTCCAGCTCACCTGACACACAGAATGGATGGATGGATGCCAATGGCCACAGCCGCGTCCTGGTGCGTGTGTGTCTTTGTGTGGTTGTGTGTCTGGCACCCTTGTTGCTTCCGGTGAGGTGGTACTTCCAAATAAGTGCGCGTGTGCACGAGTTGATGAGCAGGTGGGTCTCGTCAAACGACACTGCCATGCCGTTGGGGAAGGGCAGGTCCTTGTGCAGCACGCGGGTCTCCTTCGTGCTTCATGCACAGATTGCAATCAGGAGAACACACAACATACATATCAGGGCATGTGTCCGTTCGCCATCAGGCTCACCCACCCACCTCGGGTCATACGACATGAGGGCTCCTGTCGCTCCGCTCTCGATCAACTCGAGGAACACCCGATTCCGCTTGAACTTGGCACTGCTGTCGGTGAAGTAGACGAGGCCATCCGGCCCCTCGACGGGCGTGTTGCAGAAAACCACCCTCCGCCCGTCAGGTGCCGAATCGTCCGTCAGGATGCGGCCCTGTGCCGGCCCCCCGTTGCCGCTGCCCTCGGGCCATTCGAATATCCTGACACACATGCAGACACACGTGAGAGGGACGTCACGCACAAATGCGCGTGGGTATGGTTGCTCGCACACACATGAGTCCATAGTAAGCGTCGCACACGAGGAGGTTGCCCTGCTTGTCGAAAGAGAGGCCCAGCGGGCGGCCGCAGAAGGGCTCGTTGTCGATGTCCGCCTTTGAGCACATCTCCTCGCTGCCGTCTGCGCACACACACGCAGGGAGGGAAGCCATGTGATGGCCATCGCTTTGTGTCTGTGTTCGTGTTTGTGTGTGTTTGCTGACCGCCCAGGTGTCTGTGTGGGGCGGTGAAGGCCACGTGCTCCCACGTGTCGTCATCCACCAGACGGATGATCCTACCTAAGGCACAGACATCCATCCATCCATCCACCAAACCACTGCAGTTCTCCCGTCCGATCCGCAGCGCCCACCTTCTGAGGTGCCTGTGTAGACAAAGCCCTTCTTGTCAGCTGCAAAGGCCTCCCCACCCTGCACACGCAGAGCGCTCCTGGTGTGGTTTCGCAGACAGAGATCTGCGTGTTGCTTGTTGCCTGCCTGGCCACCCACCCACCCCAGTGATGTTTGTGTAGAGCGCCTTGGAGGCATTCAGGAAGGTCTGAATGGGAAAGGCCCCGGTGGGCATGGGCGCCACGTCATGTGACGGCACAACCACGGGGTCGAGAGGGGACGACACGATGACGTAGCCGCATATCGCTGATGAAGCAAAGACACACACACACCCATAGCCACACACGGCAGGCACAGCCCAATGCACTGAATGCGTTTGATTGATGCATCACGGCTGGACTCGTCATCACGCCTTCGTGGCCATTGCATACGTACCTGAGAGGACGGCCACAGCGACGGTCCACGGACGAAGCAAAGCCATGATCTGGGCTCGTCAATGCGTGCCTGCAGATACGTCCGTCAGCCGACTGTCAGCAGTGCAGATCTCGATGCTACAATACATAATGCATGCAGCTGCGTCCCTCCCTGCCTTCTTCTTTTCTTCTCCGCCTTTTCGATGATGCAAGCTTGGGGGCCGCCGGTAAAACCTAAACTTGGCCCTAGAGCCGAGCTCCTTTCGACTTGGCTTAGCTAGAAGCTTCCTGCTGCCTCAGAATCGTCTTCGGTGTCTTCTGTGTGTCGAACCCCCGGAGCATTACCCCTCTCAACTCTCATTTGACGTCCCGCAGGCCTCTGAGGTGACTGAGCCGATGGAGCCGATGATGGGCGCGATGGAGGAGGACGAAGGACCGAGTGCCTGGATGTTCTGGCAGCGGCACAACCCGCCCCCAGGCAAAATCGGCGCGCGCAGGGCCCACCTCCCTCCCCAGCGACACGGCACGGGGAACCCGCTCGTGGCGCAAATGGGCTTCCTCAAGAAGTACATGGGGCACCCCGGCACCCGCGGACCGGCCATCCTCGCCCCAGGGATGCGTCGGAAGAAGCCCGACATCACCGACCAGCTCGCCCAGACGGCGCGGATGAAGGCCGCGACCCGTCGGCTGATGGAGCACCACAAGAAGGTGGAGCGGATGGAGGTGGAGTGGGCCAGCAAGGGCGTGCCGCCCCCGGACGGAGGACCGCTCCCCATGGGCATGTGCCCGCCCTCACGCAACATCAACCCCAACATCAACATCGCGCCCGTGCCCCAGTTCTCGCACAAGCTGCAGCAGCGGCCTCGCGTTGTCGGGACACCCATGGAGGTGTCGGGCATCGCTGGACAGAAGAAGCGACAGTGGGAGGAGGGCGAGGGAGGGGGAGACGGCATGGGAATGCCCATGGCCATGGGAATGGGAATGGAAATGGGCATGGATGGCAGCGGGATTGGGATTGGCGGTGCTGGTTTCGGTGACGGTGGTGGCGGTGATCGTGGTGTTAGCGTGCGTGCGTCGAAGCGTTTGGCGAGTGTGGGCCCGTCGGCGCGTCCCAAGGTGGTGGAGTGCGTGCCGCAGCCTGGCGTGACCTTCCGCTTCCACAAGGAAGACCTGATCGCTTCCAAACAGGTACCCCAACCCTCCCACACCACACCCACCACCCCCAGGTATCCATGCCATGCCATGCCTGTGTTTCTTCTGTCCTGTGTGTCTGCACCGCACCAGGTGCCCTCCCACATGCGCGGCGTGAGCGTGCACATGGCCCGTCACGACGGCTTCCCCTCCTACCAGGCCCATCGCAGCGGCTACCCCCAGCCCTCACTCCCGCACCAGCAGCAGCAGCAGCCGTCCCGGTTTCCGCCGCTGCGACCGTCCCAGGAGCAGTTTCAGCAGTATCAGCCTCCCCGGCAGCAGTACCCACAGCTGCAGCCGCCGTTCATCGCCACACCGCCGTTCACGTCGGGCCGCAACTCGGGTGCGTCTGGCTTTGAGGAGACGCTCTCGCCGCCGCCGCAGGAGTCGCCCATTCCCCCCATGCCATCGCAGCCCATGCGGGAGGGACCTGGCTTGCTCGGCATGATGCAACAGCACCAATACCAGCAGCCCCAGCAGCAGCAGCAGCAGTATGCCGGCCGGGAGGAGAGCAAACAGGTGCAGCTGCAGCAGCAGCAGCCACTTCAGGTGCAGCAGGTGGCCGCCCCTGCAGCGGCGGCAGCAGCTGCTTCGGCCGGCGGTGGTGGTGGTGGTGGTCGTGTCAGTGGTGGTGTTGTTGGTGTGAGTGGCCAGGTGGCCAGCAACGTGTTGGGCAAGGAGGTGCGGCCCCAGCCGCAGCCACCCAGGGGCATCGGAGCACCCGCAGGTGCAGGTTTGGGCATGGGCCGCCAGGTATCAGTGGATCAACACCCTCACACACACACACATAGCAGACGGAGAGAGGGAGGGCGGAAGGGAGGGAGATAAGGCGCCTACCCGTTCCCTCTGTGCGTGTGGTTCATCAGGTGCATGCCACGGGGCGTCCCCAGCCCCCTTCTGACCGTGAGGTCATCACCATCGACCTGGAGGAGGACGAGGAGGAGCCCACCGGCGAGCAGCAGCAGCCTTCTGGCACCGGCAGGGGCGCGTTCGCTGCCACGGCACCTCCCAATGCTGCGGTGAGTGGGGGACGGAGGGAGGGAAGGAGGCAGGGACACAACACAGCAGCATTTTATGCATCGGTCTCCATGCAGGCTCGTGTCCAGGAGTCTCGCGAGGTGTACCGGCTTGAGGAGGACATCGAAAAACTGTAAGCCACACACACACACACACACACACAGAGAGAGAGAGAGAGAGCTGCTCATGGCTTACCTCCCGACGTGGTATGTTGTGTGTTGTGTGCAGCGAGCAGGAGATGGCCACGATGCGCATCGTGGGCGAGCGCAAGAAGATATGGGACCTGCGCAAACGCACTGGGGTGCCCGCGAAGGTGAGTGCGTCGTCGCCCCTGCCCCCC